ACGGCACATAACAACAACGACAACGTGTTAAGCAGAGTTTCACACCTCTTTCTATGGATAAGAATGGTATAAAAATTGCTTTAATTTTATAAAGAGTCAAAGGAAATAAAAATATTCCATGTGATGTCACTGATAAATGGTGAAACCATATAAAAACATTTTTTCTCTGGATATGAAGTGACAGCTATTAAATTTTGCACTTGGATTTAAACACAGTGATATTCCAATTCTCAAGATGCAATCAGTTGGAGCTATAGTTATTGATATTTTTGTTTAGTTCCTAGGAATAAGCTATTTAAAAAAAACCCCAAAAAAACCCCCAAAAAACAAACAACCCCAAAACCAAAACTTAGCGAAAAACAGTTGTACCTGAACGACAATGAATAATTGTGCTACAATCTGCCTAAGGGAACTGAAAAGGACACAGGAGACATTTTCTCTGAGGATAGGCTGGGTAAAGTTGTAAATTGGCTTGACTCTTTATAGCAGCGACTTTTATGAGCTATTTAACCTCCTCAGTTCATCGTCCCTAATACTAAGAGAAAAGGAATTTCTCTATTTCTACCTACAATATCCATTTACATATGCATACTTATTTTCTAGTGACATATTCACAAAAATACTAAAGTATATGGTAATTTATGCTTAATACTTCCTAAAAGAAAAGATAATCTAATTTTAAACACCCTTCTCTAATAAGAAAAAGTAAATTGAAATTTCGATTAGTTTTTCAGCCTCTGTGATGATTGAGACGAAGTTTCACTTAGGTGAGTAGCCAATTTATTTGTGATTTTCAAAGTTGCTTTCACCACACAGTAGAAAGTAATATTATGAAATATTTTTCTAATCTCTGAATCAATATAAATATATATGAAACTAGGTATTGATCTTAAATACCAATTTATGTGTTTACTATGCATCTCTTATATCATACTACCTTCATAGAATTTTCAAAGTCAAAATGAATACAATCAGACAATTTTTTTATTCTATAGATATTCTGGCTATAATAAACATTTTTTAATATTTGAAGCATGAATATCTAAATGCTTTATTTATTTATGAATTTACACTTGTGTGTTAAATTTAAAATTGTATTGATTATGCCAGTGTTGACGCTAGTGAAATAACTGCAAAAATGTAAAACTCCTTTAGACACATATTAAAGAAAATTAATCTTTCTTTTCTTCACAAAATTATGTAAGCACAAAAGATTTAATTTTTTATAGATTTATTTTATGTAAGACTTATCGTATAATTTTTGTTTGTTTCTTTTAAAGTGCATTTATATTTACTTTTTTTTTAAAGTGCACTTATATTTACTTTTGAGTTCTTAATGTCTCTCTAGAAACACTAATCTTAAGAAAAATAACATCACAATAGGAGGTATTGTATGATGTAGAAACAACAGACTTTCTTTTTTCAATTTTATTTTTTTATTTTTTGTGTGTACCATTAAATCGTATTTGACTGGTACAGGAGGAGATTGTCCCTCCTTCTCCAGCAGAGCAGCAGGTGAATGGGAACTGCATACCTCTGGGATTGCAGTGCAGTTTCTGGCCACTAGAAAACCAGAGCTCCCTAGAAACAACAGACTTTCAATAGTCACTATTTTATATTTTGTTTATCTTTCCTGTGATTTAGTTAATAGACATGTTCAGTGGATTAAGATGTTATTATATATATATATATAATTTTTTATTATTAATTACAGAGACTTTGGGTTCCATTCATTCATTGTTGCATTTTTCTCCCTGCCCACCCATTCTCCTTGCCTCTTAACTGTGAACTCTAACTAGGGCTCGGTCCATGCCAGGATTATCTCCCAGTACAACTAAACCAGGAGATTCTTAGTTTTCTTTTGTCCTCCACCTGCACAATTTTTTGGACTGGCAAAGATGACTGAATTCAGTTATTCTCTCTGCACCTGACAAGTGATCCATTTATGTTTACAGAAAACACAGTTACTTCCTCAGATGTAAATGAAATGCTCCGTGGAATTTAAACGTCTTGGTTTGTGGGTTGTTTTGTTTTTCTTTTTTTAAAAACTAAATTTTAGTACACAGTGGTTAAGGAATGGATTGCTGTTTGCAAAAGTTAATGGTGGGAGCCTACTAATCACTATACAGAGGAAGATGTGCTAGTCCATTTACGTAACCATTTACGTAAACATTACAATCTTGGAAAGCCTATGGAGCACACTGCATGACATGAGCTGGAATTGATCCAATGGAAATGTGCCTTTCGGGTATTTTTGTTCATATTTTTTCATTTAGTCATTTTTACTTTCTTTTTCTTTTCTCTGAGGTCAAAGACATGTTGGTAAAGAGTGTACTTAATTGACTTGTTTAAAGAACCTGCTGCAACAGGTTTTAAAAGTTTGCATTTAAAAAATAAAACCCTAAAAACCAAAAAGAAAAAAATAAAAAAGTCTGAATTAATTAGTACATCAAAATATAAAGTTAAACCTTGAAAACTTTATAATATGTATTTTTCTTTTTAAAATACTGTGTATTTTACATTTTGATCACAATCCAGTAACAGGAATTTATAGAGCCCTATTTTGTAGAAGAAATTATGTTACTGAAATAGAATTCAAAACACACTTAATAATGAGTAGCTTCCAATTTTTTTTAGAAGTAACAAATCTTAGCTGTATAAATCTACAGGGTTTACTGCCTCTGCAAACCTGCTGGAGGATCAGCTACAGGTCGATTTCTATTACACAGTGCTTCACTACAAAGTCTTCCACTGTAAAAGACTGTTTATCTGCTTGCTATAGACATAAATTTACTAAAAGAAACAGACACAATTTTACATAATTTGAGATGAGCATGCATTATGCAATACACAAATTGTTTAACAATAAGTCAAACTTGTTAAGGAGTCAAGGCTAATTAAATGGACTTTTCTATATCTCTATCTTCATAAAAGATGGCAAGGGTTATACCCAAAGCAAAACAGCTCACTCAAATGTGGGGCAGTCACTGGCTGACCACTGATTTTCAAGTGCATGATTACTTACCTTGGTTATTGAGTGAAATGTAATTTTTTATTGCTTTATTTTTTATGATACAACTTTTGGGGAGCATCTTGGCCAATTCAATACTTTAAATTTAATCCATCTATTCATGTATTCTTACATCCACATAATGCTTTTAAAACCAATCTTATTTCTCCCTATGCCTCCCTTTCAGACCAGATACTGCTCAGTGGTTTACAGTGAAAAGAGTCATTAAGGCTTTTGGTCAGAACAGATCACTAAAAGTAAAGTTCTGTTGTTTTTCACATCCTGACAATCCGTTGAGTGTATGGAATCTGAGTTCTCAACATGGCCCAAGTAGCTGTCTGTTTGATATTGGAATTTTTCTCACTAATGTCTAGCTTAATCTTTTTAGCTACAAATTCGTAAAACAAAACAAACCACCTAAAACTTATAATGACTTTACTTATTCTTTATTTCAAAAGAAGAAATACTTAAAGATACTTATCTTCTAAAAAAAAATCACACCAAACATTAGATTGAGGCCAAAGAGTATGGGATTTGATGTTAGGTGTATCAGAGTCAGTGAGATTAGCTCAGGATAGGGCAGGCCAAGATTCAGAGCTATTGTACATAGGGTCACTATAAATTTGGAGCAACTAGATGGCACACGAAAGCGACTCCATTTGCAGGCCATGTTCTTCGCAATCACTTGTTATGCATCAGAGAGTTGGACAATGACCAAGGAGGATAGAAGGAGAATTGATGCCTTTGAGCTGTGGTGCTGGAGAAGAGTATTGAGAATTCCATGGACTGCTAGGAAAACAAACAGATTCCTCCTGGAAAGGGTTAAACTGGGTGGCGCCTTGGAGGCAAGGATTCTGAGGCTTCGTCTAACGTACTTTGGACATGTTGTGAGGAGAGACCGGTCCTTGGAGAAGGACATCATGCTTGGGAGGGTGGAGGGACAGCGCAGGAGGGGAAGGCCCTCTATGAGGTGGATTGATTCAGTGACTGGGGTAATCAGGATGGGAGTGTCAGAGACAGTGCGATTGGCACAGGACAGAGCAGAGTTTAGGGCTGTTGCACATAAGGTTGCTATGAGTCGCAAGTGACTCGACGGCACATAAACAACAACAAGAAGAAGAAGATGGCACATAACACCACCACCACCACCACACACACACACACACACACACACACACACACACACACACACACACAGAGTTACCTGTGAAAAGCAGAGATGAGACTGTTTTGCTTTTCTGGATCTCACATGTTTTTCACCTTTAACAGAATATAGTACAATTACTTTACTCTCAGTCTCTATTAAATATTTTGGTTTTCCTTCTCTTACAGATTTCTTCCTTACCCAGACTCTACTTCCACAAGTTTTATTGCAGACATATTCACCTATGGATCATCTAATATAAAGGATATGTTCTACATAATTGGGGTGTTTTATTTGGAACTTATCTGAACAACATAATAAAACTTTATAAAATTCCACCTATTGCTACTATTGCTCCTGTTGGAACTGATGGTAGATGAGGGTAGAGAAATAGGCAACAACAGAGCAGAAGAGTAAGTGACAGGAGTAGCAGAGTTCAATTATTACTTTACTCACGTAGCAGCAGAAAGAGACCAGATCTCATAACACCTTCCTCAACACCACTTTCCTACCCACCAGACAGAACCCAAAGGCCTATGCTCAGAGTTCTATCTCTGCCTCAATTGTCTATGTCCTATCCATCTCCCCATGTTACAAAAGTTGGAGTCTTAAAGACCATTAGGAAAAAAATCAGAGAATAACTGGTTTCACTTAAAAAGATACAAGTTCTCTAGTGTTTTAAAAAGTATTACAGCACCACAGATTTACATACAATCAGATGAGACTCAGACAAATGTTGCACAATATCTTTATGTGTATGTGTGTGTAAAATAAAATGTGGCAATACATAAAACTTATGGATATTTATAATTTTAATAAAATTCCACTTTAACAGAGCAGGGACATTGCAATAGTAATGAAACCTATTGTGTGGTGGAACCATGTAGTTGGTTATATTTGCAAACCTATATGGTATTTCAAGAATAAGAAAATAAATGTAGATGTAACATTGTAAAATGAGGTTAGGTAAATTTAAATGACTTGGTTTTAATTACTTTTGTGTTTCACCTCTTTCCAGGGTAATACACTGGGAAGTAGAGAATGGTGAAATGGAACAATCAGACCTTGGGAACTGACTTCGTCCTACTGGGCCTTTTCTACCACATCCAAGCCCCTGTGCTTCTCTTCACATTCATCTTCCTAGTCTTCCTCATTGCCCTCGTTGGTAATAGTGTGATGATAATTCTCATTTGGTTGGATGCTCGACTTCACACTCCCATGTACTTTCTTCTGAGCCAACTTTCCTTCATAGACCTCGTGTATATCTCCACTTTTGTACCCAAGATAGCCACTGACTTTCTGTCTGGGAGAAACACTATTTCTTTTATTGACTGTGGAATTCAGATGTTCCTCTTCGCAACCCTAATGGGAGCAGAATGCTTTCTCCTGGCTGTCATGGCTTATGACCGCTATGTGGCTATATGCCATCCACTTCATTATTCAATTCTCATGCGTCCTACAATTTATGGCTCCATGATGATAGCAACCTGGCTGGGAGCTCTGCTCAATGCCTTGATCCATGTCATATATACCCTGAATCTTCCCTACTGTGCCTCCAGAAAAATACATCATTTCTTTTGTGAGATCCCAGCTCTCCTGGAACTTGTTTGTGCAGATGTCACTCTATATGAGAATGGTCTTTTTGTCAGTGGTGTTGTGGTCCTCATCGCTCCAATAGCAGTTATCATGGTTTCCTATGGGAAGATTCTCTCAACTGTGTTGGGATTAGGATCTAATCTGGGAAGGAAAAAGGCTTTGGCGACTTGTTCTTCCCATATGATTGTAGTGTCTCTTTTTTACGGAACAGCCATCATGAAGTACTTTCTGCCCAAAGCATATCACACTGCTGAGCAGGATGAAATACTTTCTATCTTCTACACTATCCTCACACCCATGGTTAACCCACTTATCTATTGTCTTCGTAACAAAGAGGTGGCTGGTGCCCTGAAGAAAATATTGGGAAAGTAGGTAAGTAATCATAATGAACTTGTATGTATCTAAAGAAAATAAAAGATGAGAATATGCTATTGAGTTGCATACAATTATTATTATACCAGAGGTAAACAATGTACAGCATTTTGTGGATGCTTTGTGGGAAAATCACGTCACTCTAACTGTTGGTAGAGAGTTAATGTGTCAGAGCAATATCTTCCTATTAATGCTCATCTGATAGTCACTAATTCATAAATCAGAATATCCCAAGTCTAGAGACAGATAATCCGTAGGAGTTACCACTGTTAGAAATCACACATATCATTTTTACACAAAAGTAAAAAATGCATAAAGATGGCAGCCTTGCAAGTCTAATGGAGGATCCCCATGAGTCAGAATCAGCATGAACCTGTAAGTTGTTTCGTCTTTTTCTTTGTGAAGGTTGGGGACTATGTGAAGATTATGCAATATTGCCTCTCCTATATTCCACATTAATTCTTCACAAATAGCAGTATTATCAGAATACTAAATATTAGAAAACAGAATTTTAGAAAAAACCTAGATGAAAGAAAAAATGATTAATAAAAGATACAAATTAGTCAGAAATAAGACTAGTGTTGCTCTAGTGTTAGAGTAGATAAGAAATTTAAGCGTCTTTGTATAAAAGATCATATAGTTTATCATATATTTATTTTGCAAATTATATTATTATATTTTAACTAACTAATGTTGTTGTTATTACATGCCGTCGAGTCACTTGCAACTCATAGTGACCCTATGAACAACAGCCCTAAACCCTGCTCTGTCCTGTGCCAATCTTACTGTTTCCGATACCCCCACTCTGATTTCCCCAGTCACTGAATCAATACACCTCACAGAGGGTCTTCCCCTCTTGCACTGTCTCTCCATCCTCCAAAGCATGATGTCCTTCTCCAAGGATTGATCCATCCTTGCAACATGTCCAAAATATGTCAGACAAAACTTCAGAATCCTTGCCTCCAGGGAGCCGCCCAGTTTAACCCTCTCCAGAATGAACCTGTGTGTTTTCTTAGCGGCCCATTGTACATTCAATACTCCTCTCCAGCACCACAGCTCAAAGGCATCAATTCTCCTTCTATACTCCCTAGTCATTTTCCAACTCTCTGATGCATAACAAGTGATTGCAAAGACCATGGCCTGAATAATTGCTCTTATTTTCTAAAATATTTTGTTTCCAGAGCCATGTTGTTTAGAAAGTGAATGCCGTTTTTGCTTCCAAACCTGAATCAATCTGGGATCTCCACCAAACACTGCTCATGATGGGTAAGGATTATGGTATTAGACACACCTATGTCACAGTTGTTCAGCATTAAAGCAACTCCAAGTTACGTCAGCACATCAAATAGATAGAACACTGCTGTACCACTTGAAAGAATGTT